ATAATTTCACCCATCTAATGACGTAAGCCTTTCAAAATTATGATGAACTTCAGTGCATATTGCGCTTTGATATGGTGCCAATAGAAAATTGAAATGTATATGGATGATAAAATATTACCCTTTAATTTGCATCACTTCATGCTAAAAGCTGCGTTCTGTAGTAGTAGTTCGACAGGCTTTACTTTTCGTTTTATGCTTTAAAAGGGGCTACTCAGTAATGCCTCAAATTGGGAATAAAGCAGTAATTTTGCTATTCTGCGGTGAAATAACTTTTATCTCACAAAAAAGGAGGATAACAGGAAATGTTTTAAGAAAGCCACAACTTGTTTTTTGGCTGCAAGATAGGAGCCGGGAAAAAAGGCGGGGCCCCAAAAATGCTGCAATTCTTGTGGGACGGCATGGAGCAAGGGTTTTTGAATGGAAAAAAAAAGGCATCTATCCCTTTCGCTGTGCCAATGTTTGGAGAGACCCAAAACAGATATTTATTTAATTGTTATTTTGTATGGTGCCCCCAATTGTAAAAGGGCTAAATAAGAAAAAAAGGTTTTTATCTGTGCACTATCCAAATTTCCATGGCAATACGTCATTCCCTCAGGGAGGGGGGTACCAAATTCCCCTTTAAAGCACCGAACCCTTTGGGGTTAAGTCAAGTGAGGAAAAACCTGAAGCGTGTAGTCACGTGCATGAATTCGTGGAAAAATTTTGATTCGAGTCGAATATATTCGCTGCGAATTTAACTTATAAAAGGGTGTTTCTAGGCTTCAGAGAGCCTTTATATTAGTGCAGAACACTGTACCTTTAATTTAAATGCCCTTGGAGTCTGCTGGGGAAGAGAAATAATACTGTCAGTCAGTATGACATGCAGATGAGTGCCGTCGATCTTAGAAATCACCGCACACTTCACTCATTTGGGCAGTCACGGGGCCAAAACCGGAGTGTGGAGCCACAGTGTGGCGGTGGAGGCAGCAGCAATGGGAGGCCATACAGCACCCTATGACAAAAATGGAAACCACCAGCAGTGTGTGAGGAGAGACCTGAAAGTGGCACATGGCAGAGTGTGGCGATGGAGACAGCAGCAATGGGAGGCCGTACAGGGACCCATGACACACTCTGGACCTGGCAGCAGCATGAGGAGGCGGTACAGGGGCCCATGACAGATTACGGGCCTGGCAGCAGCATGAGGAGTCGGTACGGGGGCCCATGGCAGATTAGGGGCCTGGCAGCAGCTTATGGGAGGCCCGTAATCTGCCAGCACCCTATGACAAAAAATGGAACACACCAGCAGTGTGAGGAGACCTGAAAGTGGCACATGGCAGAGTGTGGGCGATGGAGACAGCAGCAATGGGAGGCCGTACAGGGGGACCCATGAGAGACTCTGGACCTGGCAGCAGCATGAGGAGGCGGTATATCAGGGGCCCATGGCAGATTAGGGGCCTGGCAGCAGCTATGGAGGCCCGTAATCTGCCAGCACCCTATGACAAAAAATGGAACACACCAGCAGTGTGAGGAGACCCTGAAAGTGGCACATGGCAGAGTGTGGCGATGGAGACAGCAGCAATGGGAGGGCCGTACAGGGACCCATGAGAGACTCTGGACCTTGCAGCAGCATGAGGAGGCGGTACTAGGGGCCCATGGTAGATTAGGGGCCTGGCAGCAGCTATGGGGAGGCCGTAATCTGCCAGCACCCTATGTCAAAAATTGAAACACACCAGCAGTGTGAGGAGACCTGAAAGTGGCACATGGCATGAGACACTGTGGACGACCTGGCAGGACCTGCAGCATGAGGAGGCGGGGTACAGGGGCCCATGGCAGATTAGGGGCCTGGCAGCAGCTATGGGAGGCCCGTAATCTGCCAGCACCCTATGACAAAAAATTGGAATCACACCAGCAGTGTGTGAGGAGACCTGAAGTGGCACATGGCAGAGTGTGGCGATGGAGACAGCAGCAGCACTGGGAGGCCGTACAGGGACCCATGAGCAGACTCTGGACCTGGCAGCAGCATGAGGAGGCGTTATAGGGGCCCATGGCAGATTAGGGGCCTGGCAGCAGCTATGGAGGCCCGTAATCTGCCAGCAGCACCCTATGTCAAAAAATGGAACACACCAGCAGTGTGAGGAGGAGACCTGAAAGTGGCACATGGCATGAGAGACTCTGGACCTGGCAGCAGCATGAGGAGGCGGTACAGGCGGGTACAGGGGCCCATGGCAGATTAGGGGCCTGGCAGCAGCTATGGGAGGCCCGTAATCTGCCAGCACCCTATGACAAAAAATGGAACACACCCAGCAGTGTGTGAGGAGACCTGAAAGTGGCACATGGCAGAGTGTGGCGATGGGCGAGACAGCAGCAATGGGAGGCCGTACAGGGACCCATGAGAGACTCTGGACCTGGCAGCAGCATGAGCAGCATGAGGAGGCGGTATAGGGGCCCATGGCAGATTAGGGGCCTGGCAGCAGCTATGGGAGGCCCGTAATCTGCCAGCACCCTATGACAAAAAATGGAAACACCAGCAGTGTGAGGAGACCTGAAAGTGGCACATGGCATGAGACACTGGAGGACCAATGGGAGGCCGTACAGCATGAGGAGGACTGTACAGCATGAGGAGGGGGCCCATGGCAGATTAGGGGCCTGGCAGCAGCTATGGGAGGCCCGTAATCTGCCAGCACCCTATGACAAAAAATTGGAACACACCAGCAGTGTGTGAGGAGACCTGAAAGTGGCACATGGCAGAGTGTGGCGATGGAGACAGCAGCAATGGGAGGCCGTACAGGGACCCATGAGAGACTCTGGACCTGGCAGCAGCATGAGGAGGCGGGGTATATAGGGGCCCATGGCAGATTAGGGGCCTGGCAGCAGCTATGGGAGGCCCGTAATCTGCCAGCACCCTATGACAAAAAATGGAACACACCCAGTGTGTGAGGAGACCTGAAAGTGGCACATGGCAGAGACACTGTGGCGATGGAGACAGCAGCAATGGGAGGCCGTACAGGGACCCATGAGAGACTCTGGACCTGGCAGCAGCATGAGGAGGCGGTATAGGGGCCCATGGCAGATTAGGGGCCTGGCAGCAGCTATGGGAGGCCCGTAATCTGCCAGCACCCTATGACAAAAAATGGAACACACCAGCAGTGTGAGGAGACCTGAAAGTGGCACATGGCATGAGACACTGTGGACCTGGCAGCAGCATGAGGAGGCGGGTACAGGGGCCCATGGCAGATTAGGGGCCTGGCAGCAGCTATGGGAGGCCCGTAATCTGCCAGCACCCTATGACAAAAAATGGAACACACCAGCAGTGTGAGGAGACCTGAAAGTGGCACATGGCAGAGTGTGGCGATGGAGACAGCAGCAATGGGAGGCCGTACAGGGACCCATGAGAGACTCTGGACCTGGCAGCAGCATGAGGAGGCGGTATATAGGGGCCCATGGCAGATTAGGGGCCTGGCAGCAGCTATGGGAGGCCCGTAATCTGCCAGCACCCTATGACAAAAAATGGAACACACCAGCAGTGTGAGGAGACCTGAAAGTGGCACATGGCATGAGACACTGTGGACCTGGCAGCAGCATGCAGAGGGGGCGGTACAGGGGCCCATGGCAGATTAGGGGCCTGGCAGCAGCTATGGGAGGCCCGTAATCTGCCAGCACCCTATGACAAAAAATGGAACACACCAGCAGTGTGTGAGGAGACCTGAAAGTGGCACATGGCAGAGTGTGGCGATGGAGACAGCAGCAATGGGAGGCCGTACAGGGACCCATGAGAGACTCTGGACCTGGCAGCAGCTATGAGGAGGCGGTATAGGGGCCCATGGCAGATTAGGGGCCTGGCAGCAGCTATGGGAGGCCCGTAATCTGCCAGCACCCTATGACAAAAAATGGAACACACCAGCAGTGTGAGGAGACCTGAAAGTGGCACATGGCATGAGTGTGGCATGTGGACCTGGCAGCAGCAGCAGGAGGGAGGCGGTACAGGGGCCCATGGCAGATTTAGGGGCATGAGTGAGTGTTGGTATGGGGCAGGCCTTGGCAGCAGCGTAATCTGCCAGCACCCTATGACAAAAAATGGAACACACCAGCAGTGTGAGGAGACCTGAAAGTGGCACATGGCAGAGTGTGGCGATGGAGACAGCAGCAATGGGAGGCCGTACAGGGACCATGAGAGACTCTGGACCTGGCAGCAGCAATGAGGAGGCGGTATAGGGGCCCATGGCAGATTAGGGGCCTGGCAGCAGCTATGGGAGGCCCGTAATCTGCCAGCACCCTATGTCAAAAAATGGAACACACCAGCAGTGTGAGGAGACCTGAAAGTGGCACATGGCAGAGTGTGGCGATGGGAGACAGCAGCATGGGAGGCGTACAGGGGACCCATGAGGAGACTCTGGACCTGGCCTGGCAGCATGCTTGAGGACGGCGGCGGTTATAGGGGGCCCATGGCAGATTAGGGGCCTGGCAGCTATGGGAGGGAGACCGTAATCTGCCAGCACCCCTATGTCAAAAAATGGAACACACCAGCAGTGTGAGGAGACCTGAAAGTGGCACATGGCATGAGGACACTGGGGACCTTGGCAGCAGCATGAGGAGGAGGCGGGTACAGGGGCCCATGGCAGATTAGGGGCCTGGCAGCAGCTATGGGAGGCCGTAATCTGCCAGCACCCTATGACAAAAAATGGAACACACCAGCAGTGTGAGGGAGACCTGAAAGTGGCACATGGCAGGGGCATGATTCATGGCGCAGCAATGATTTAGTCAGTTGTGTCAGGAACTGGTGGTTTGAAATCCAGACTAATCCACGGTATCATTTTCACAAACGTGGAGTCTCTCCACACAGCTTGGGGGGGGGACAGTCGTGTCCTGCGCGGAGTTACAATACCTCCTGCAACTAAACAGCGCTCCGATGCCACGCTACTGGCCGGGCATGACAGCCTTTCAAGGGCAAATTCAGCTAGTTGGGGCCAAAGGTCAAGTTTCGTTGCCCAGTAGTCAAGGGGATTGTCTACCTCGGTTGGCAGGGTGTGCTGTCCAAGTAGGCCCAAGCCTGGTTTTTGAGGTCTGCTCCAGGTCCACCTGATGCTGCTGCTGCGGGTGGTTAGTAGTTTCCTCATGCGCTGGTGAAGAAAGCTATCATATCATCGATGCAGACTGAGGCAGCCGCCTGCTGGTGGAGCTGCCACTGCTCCTACCACCCCACCCTTGCTGCCATGGCAGCGGAACACGAGCGAGCACAGGGAGGAGACCTGAGGATGGACGTTGGCGCAGAAAGGCAGAGACAGCAAATGACTACATAGGTGGTTTTGGTTATAGTAGTTATTTTGGCCTCCCTCTTAGCAGGTGTGAAAAAGGCCACCATTTTTGAACCCTATGGTAGCGAGGGTCCAACAAGGTGGACAGCCAAACAGTCATCCCTCTGTCTGATGGTTATTATGGCTGTCGCTACGCAAGCAACCGAGCATGCTATGGGCCATTTGTGCAAGGAATGCGAGGGGACTCCCTGCCTCCATCTCCACAGCATACTGCCACGGTGCGTCTGGGTCCTCTGTCTCTTCCTCCTCACAGCTCTACCAGATGTCCTGCTCCTCCACTCCTGTCCGCTGAGTGGAAAAACCACCCATTTCACTCAAGATTCCTGAGCACAAATGTCCTCCTCTACCTTATTTTACTCCTCTTTTTCCTGTCCTGCCCCCACAGGGGTCATGTGGCGTTGAGATCTGTGCGCCACGTCTAGCACTGGCTGACCAGCCATTGTTAACAGCATTTGTTCCCAGGACGTGCAACAGAGGAACATGACGTCGTTCATCCCATAGTCCTGCCGACTCACGAATAGCGTGGCCTCCTCAAAGGGGCAGCAAGCGGCAGGTGTCACGTATGAGCTGCCACTCTGGCTGACATCTAAGTTACACAGGGAGTACCTTTATCCGCTTGTAACATCAGGAAAATTAGGTGATGGCCTTTCGCTGTTCGTAAAGGCGGTTCTAAACATGTGTAGGGTTGAATTCCCACCTTGTTGCAACGTCGCAGATCAGGCGATGCTGTGGAATTCCGTTCTGCCCGCTGCAGCTCAAGGAGGGTGTGCTTTGCGGTGTAGGAATGGCTGAAATGCATGCAAAGTTTACGTGACATTTTAAGGATGTCTCTGCAGTGGGATGGTGGATTTTAGGAACCGCTTGACAACCAGATTGAACACGTGAGCCATGCTGGCGCATGGCACAACCTTCCTTGACGCAGAGCAGACACCATGTTCTTTCCGTTGTCGGTCAACATGGTTCCGATTTTCAGTTTGCGGGAGACAGCCATCTGTCGGCAGATTTCTCTGTTCATTACACTGAGAAGTTCCTCCCTGTGTGACTACGTTCGCCAAGGCATACCAGGTGCAGCACAGCGTGACACGTTGCGCCCTGCCACATGTGATATGCCGGTCGGGTAAATGGGACTTGGCACGGGGGTGGCGGCTGAGGACAGGGAAGAAGAGGTGGTAGAGGCGGACATCTTTTGTGGACCAAGGACGTGCAAACGTGGAGGCAAAAGCGGCGTGACCTGTCCAAGTTGCTGGTGCGGCTGTGTGACGGCACCACGTTCACCCAGTGGGCCGTAAATGACATGTACTGTCCCTGACCGTAGTTACAGCTCCACACGTCGGCGCTGCCGTGCACTTTGGCAGAGACCGACATGCTCAAAGATGGCCCACCATCTCTTCTACATGTGAATGCAGGGCTGGCACTGCCTTTTTGGCGAAGAAATGACGGCTTGGCACTCTCCACAGCGGCGCGGGGCACAAGCCATCATTTCTCGGAAAGGTGCTGAGTCCACCACTTGGAAAGGGAGGGACTGCAGCACCAGCAACTTGGACAGGGAGGACGTTCAATGCGCAGATTCTTTAGCTGCCTGGCAGCAGCGTCGGGTGCGTGCTCGCAAACTGTTGTCTCTTGGAAAACGGATTCCAAGAAAGACTGCTGACGGAATCCGTGAAGAGGAGTAGCAGGAAGAGGAGCATCTGAACGAGCGGAAGATGGCAACGAGCGACAACTCCCCCTCAGCAGAGGTGTTGGAGCCTTGACTGGCTGATGAGAGGGCGATTGACGTCGGGTGACGGGAGCAAGTAACGGGCGGGGGATGGGTGCGGGGAGCGAGGGGCTGGGGCGGGCAGAACCGCCGTCTTTATCACGGTTTTCCCAGGCCACCAAATGGCGACGCTGCATATGCTGCCGCAACGCTGTAGTCCCAACATGGGGCCCCCTGGCCACGCTTGACTTTCTGGCCACCTAGTCGACATACGGCTACGTTTACTTCCTCGGGCGGCTTGACAAAAAATTGCCACACCGCCGAGTAGGAAACTTTGCCCCCGATACTCCTCACTGGCTGATTGCTGCTTCTCCTCTGTGCACACCGGCACCACTACTGGCCGTGGTGGTAGGCTGCAGTGGAGCTGGTGCTGTACTCCGTGGCCGTTTGCCTCACTGACACTGCTGCGACCCTGCTGCCTCCTGGGCAAACCCACCGATGTTTTTGCTCGCTGCAAGCTGCCACCCTCTTCTCCTGATGATGCGGAAGCAATAGCCTGATGACGACGAGGCTGCCAAGTGCGATCAGCCTCTCATCATCATCCAATTAGGGTCTCCGCCTCACTACTAGCCCCCTCGGCTGCGTGTGGGTCAGGAGACAGACCTGTCTCTAGACCGGCTACCGAGCCACTCTCCTCGCCACTACTTCTTCGCCTGGCTGCTGAAGAGGCGGATGTCTCCCCCCGTTCCTGACCGCCCTCTGTTAGCTCTTCCTCACTGTACAGTGGGGCTGAGCCCCACAGCATGCGATACTTCGCTTGGTGAGGGAACACCAAAGGACAGGGGCAGGTAGAGGACACGTGATTTCAGTGGGCTTGCTCCCGGGCCATGCCAACTAACGGTTGTGTCTGACGTACCCACCGGACCGTTGGCTGTAGGTGTCAGAGGTGACTGGGAAGAGGAAGACGATCGAGCCAACCAATCGATGATGGCAGGGTTGTCGGTGGAGACACGACCGCTGGATGACACCGGGAGCACTGGCCTCTGGCTGCGATAGTGCTGCCTCGACCCCTTCCTCTGCTGCCACGTCTGCTCGCTCCTAAAACATTGCCTCCTCTGCCACTTCTCTGCATGTTGTCTGACATACTCTTTAATTAAACGATTCTGTGTCCCTGAGTAACAATTCTGTGTCCCTAAGTAACGTTTCTGTGGCCCTAAGTAACATTTCTGTGGCCTAAGTAACGATTCTGTGGCCCTAAGTAACGTTTCTGTAGCCCTAGTAACGTTTCTGTGGCCCTAAGTAACATTTCTGTGTCCCTGAGTAACGTTTCTGTGTCCCTAAGTAACAATTCTGTGTCCCTCAGTAACAATTCTCGTGGCCCTCAGTAACAGTTCTGTGTCCCTCAGTAACAATTCTGTGTCCCTCAGTAACAATTCTGTGTCTGTCCCTGAGTAACAATTCTGTGTCCCTGAAGTAAGTTTCTGTGTCCCTAAGTAACGTTCTGTGTCCCTAAGTAACGATTCTGTGGCCCTAAGTAACGTTTCTGTAGTCCCTAAGTAACAATTCTTCTGTGGCCCTAAGTAACGTTTCTGTGGCCCTAAGTAACAGTTCTGTGGCCCTCAGTAACAATTCTGTGTCCCTCAGTAACAATTCTGTGGCCCTCAGTAACAATTCTGTGTCTGTCCCTGAGTAACAATTCTGTGTCCCTAAGTAACGTTTCTGTGGCCTAAGTAACGGTTCTGTGGCCCTCAGTAACAATTCTGTGTCCCTCAGTAACATTTCTGTGTCTGTC